GAGAGAGAGAGACGGAGGGAGGGAGAGAGAGGGAGGGAGGGAGGAAGGAAGGAAGGAAACCAAAACAAAGCAAAGCAAAGCAAAGCAAAGCAGGGCCACCAGCCACCATGGAGGAGACCACAAGTCTTGTAAGTACCTTCCCCAGAAGACCGTCCAAGCTCCGGCACTGCCTCCTCTGGCCACCGAGAGCAGCACAGAGAAGGGCTCAAGATCTCGTCTTGGTCTCCTTTGTCCACCGGCCTCCCTTCTTATCACAGAGTCTGGAGTCCACTCAACTGAGTCTGTGCTCGTGTCTCGGAAAGGTGGACTTTGGAGTCAGCCAGATTTGCATTTACATCCCAGCCTCACACCACCACTAGCCGTGGCATCCTACAGAAGTGTCTTAACTTCTCTGACCTTCAGTTTCTTCATCTCTAAAGTGGGAGCTAGGTGGATAATTGATGGGAAGAAAGAAAGAGAGAAAGGGAGGGAGGGAGAGAAGGAGATAGATAAATAAGTAGATGATGGATGGATGGATGGATGGATAGCTATAGATAGACAGAAACACACATACATATATGTAGAGATACATACCTATATAGACATATACAGATTAGACAAAAAAGAATTTGTTAAATGTTAAATATAATAATGCCCACTGAAATAGAAACAGTAAATTCTAGTTCCCTCCCTGTGTAATTTTTCCAGACCTCCCAGCTCTCACCCTCTGTGTGCTTTTCATGTGGGTAGCAGCACTGGTTGGAGTGGAGAGGTTCAACAGAGCACTCTGTTCTCCAAAGAATGGCAAAAGGCCCTCTAGCCTATCCCAGCACTCGGGGAGCCCTGGGCTCAGCAACGTTGGAGTGCAGCCCTCAGTGTCCCCCTCACGCCTGGGTTCATGGTTAACGCACGTTTGCGCTCTGTGGACTTTGACAGGTAGACAGAAACCTCACACATTCAGCCACCACTAACTGGAAGTGTGGGACGTCCTGGACAGCAGCTGTGATGAAGTTCACCACCTCTTTGAAGAGCAGGTCGATGACGAGGGTGCATCAATGACATAGTAAAGAGGGAGTTTCACTCCCTTGAGAGAAGAATTATGGGCAGGCTGTTAGATGCGTCCATTTACACACAGCGTGCTAATTACAAATCATTATCGGTTAACTCAGACCAATCACTAGAAGATGTTTCCACGCTGAACCTTAGTTACATTAACACGGAATTACCGGATCTGCTGGAAAGCGATCAAACTGCGCTTATGCAGGAGTGTTCCATCACTCCCAGCAGACCTCCCCGCCCGGAGGCATTGCACGTGAGGAGTTCTGTGGATGTTACCACGCACTGTCTAGAGGGATGGCCCTCACCCCATGCCTTGGTGGGTGTCCTCACTGTCGGGGCGTGGTGTGTAGGAAGGGGCCCCGGAGGCAGTGGGGAGAGAGGGATAGCCAGGCTCCCACATACAAATGCTAATGATCAGCTGTGAACATTCTTTGTGTTCCTGTCCTTCAGGCCAGGCAGAGGGAACTAATTCTACACTTCATGTACCCTGAAGGCTCCTGTGACCCCTTGAGCCCCTCAAGTCCCCCTCCATCAGACAGTAATCTGCAGAGGACAGGAGCGAGAACAGGGAGCACTGAAGTGTGCTGAGGACATCAGACAATTCTGAAGACCCCTCTCCCCTAACCAAAGGCTTCAACATCCCACATTATTCTTAATTGAACCCAGTTAGGAAACGTTTTGGTCCTCCAGAGGGTAGACTATTTGGAGAGGGTTCCCTATTCTTATTATGTGATTCTCTATGTATCCTTCTACGGCTGTGGTACCTGGTCACTTGGGCAGGTGTGATGGGATGGCCCTCACTACTCAGAAGCCTCCATCCTGCAGAGAGGTATCGATCTCAGCCCTCCCTCTGTGCTGGCGGGAAGATACCCGAAGGGCCCTTGGACCGTGCACGGCTTCACTTTCTCTCTGCCTGGGCTTCCAGCACCTAGATGTGATGGGGAGACGCAGGAAGGGTGAATATAAACTCCTCGTGTTCTGTAGCGTCTGGTGTGCGCCTCTTTAATTTAAAAGAGATTATCTAGTCAGATGGTTCAGCTGTCACAACTGCTTTGGCAATTTCTCAAAAAGTTAAATGTAGAATTCCCATCAGATCCAGCAATTCCACTTCTTGGTACATAACCTCCCAAAATTGAAAGCAGGGACTAAAACAGATACTGGTGCACCATGTTCATAGCAGCATTATTCACAATAGTCAAAAGGTGGGAACAACCCAGTGTCATCAGCGGACGAGCGCGGAAACACATGTGGTCTCTCCATACAATGGAATATTACTCGGCCTTAAAAAGGGAGGAAAATCGGTCACATGCTACAACATGGATGAACCTTGATTTGAGGACATTATGCGAAATGAAAGAAGCCAGACACAAAAGGATGAATACTGTATTATTCCACTTATATAAGGTACCTAGACTAGTCAAATTTGTAGAGACAGAGAACAGAATGATGGTTGCCACAATCTGAGAAAAGAGGGGAATGAGGAGTTACTCATGGGAGACAAGAGTTTTTATTTTGGATGGTGAAAAAGTTCTGAAAGTGTGGATAGTGGTGACAGTTGCATGTGCGAAGAAGGTATTTAATGCCACTGAATTATACACTTAAAATTATCAAAATGGTAAATTTTATGTTATGTATACGTTACCATAATAATTGAAAAAATAAGATCGTCTAGAATGATAGCACATGGACTCAGGAACCAACTTTAAAAAGGAAAGTCACTGAGCAGTTGGCAGTCTCCGGAGAAGTGTGGTGCCAGTGAATGCCTGGGGGACTGCCTGCACCTTGACTTCAAGGGAGGGTTGGGAGCATCCAGTAGTGGGAGGGAGGATCAAGGGAAAAGACACTAACTCCTGGTGGATCTTCCTTCCCGGGCAGGTTTCAGCACAGCCAGTCCCCCAGGAGCCCAGCAGAAAAGATTACGAGACCTACCAGCCGTTTCCAAATTCCACGAGAAACTATGACGAGTCCTTCTTCGAGGACCAGGTCCACCACCGCCCTCCCGCCAGCGAGTACACCATGCACCTGGGACTCAAGTCCACCGGCAACTACGTCGACTTCTACTCCGCTGCCCGTCCCTACAGTGAACTGAACTATGAAACGAGCCACTACCCGGCCTCCCCCGACTCCTGGGTGTGAGCAGGGAGGCACGCGGCGCCGGGAACAGTGCATGTGCATGCAGACCACAGACATTGCTTTTTTTTTTTTTTCCCTGCAAATTTAGTTTGTTAAAGCCTGTTCCATAGGAAGGCTATGATAACCAGTAAGGAAATACTCAGAGCTATTTTAGAATGCTAAATGAATTGAAAGTTAACTTGAAAGTCAGTAGAAAGCTAAAGTGATCCTAAATCTGACATCACGCGACACTTTTGTAGGGCAGGCTGTAGAGTCTAAAAAGTGCTTTACACCGAATGTGGCTGAAGGCAGCACAGGAGGCGGTCGGGGTGACGGGCGCGAGGGTTATAAGCACAGAGGCAGCGTAGTTCACACACTTTAGAGGGACGGCTTCTCACGCTTTGTTTACTCCCTTCATCCGTTGTGATTCTAGGCTTCAAGTTGCATTGGGGTTCCTCTGTACAGCAAGACGTTTCTTGCCTTTTGTTAATGCATTGTTGTAAAGTATTTGATGTACATTACAGATTAAAGAAGAAAAGCGCGTTGTGTATATTACACCAATGCCGCGGCGTTTCCTCATCTATGGTTCTAAATATTGCTTCAATTTCAAACTTTTGAAAGATGTATGGATTTCCAGGGTTTTTTTTTCCTTTCTTTTCTTTCTCCCAGTATGTTTTAACAGAAAAAAAATGGGGAAAAAAAGGAATATTTAGCAGTATTGTTCGTTCTGATATGTGACTTTGTTTGTGGCAACTAAGCAAGGTATTCAGCAGTTTCTGACAATTAACATACATCATTCCACACTCCTTGTCAACAAAGTGCTTTTTCACTGCCTAAAATTTTAGATGTAGATATTTGAAATAGATTTTTTCATTTATACCAGTTTTCTTTATGATGATACAGTGTTAAAAGAAAATAAATTACAATTGATCTGTCATCCATATTTGCTAAGAATGTCTGTTTCCAAGGACCTATCTTACAAAACACACATTCTTGCTCGTGTGTCTGTGCGTGTGTGGGTGTGTGTCCCTGTATGTGTAAAAATGACCTGTGTGAGATCTTATTTTGATAGAAACGACTTCATTTGCTGTTCATCTTGTACAAACTTTGTTTTTGGTTTTTAGTATAAATATACATCAGTTTGTTGCTTTTGTACTCAATCTATTCTTCTGACCATCTAGTGACTCAGGATATTAGGCCAGCTGAAGTAAAGTTATAGGACCTTCACCCATTCACACATTCTTGGATACCAACTCTTTCTGTAGGCCCATTTCCTTCCATGTTTTATGCCCTCAGAACATGAGAAACCATGGCCAACTGGATAATTTCACATTGGGGCCAATTACTTGAACTATCCACAGAAAATGTAAACTGCTCGCCTTACTCCCCCCAAACTTTTTTGTTCATGTGGCAGGGAGCAGTAGACAATAATGGATTAGATGATTAAAATTGAACTTGAAGCTAATGTTAGAATAGTGGTTAACAGAACTAAGAAGTAAGGCTAACCATTCAAAAGAACACGGGCTGTGGGTAAATTAGCTTTGCTCTTTAGATGCAAGTGACTGAGGCCAATAGGTGCCTAGTAAATGTTAACTGTTCTTGAAAAAATAAAAAATTCAATAACAAAAGAAATTGGCTGCCATCTTCCTTTAAAACTTTCTCCCCTTCACTCTACATAGTTCAATTCAGCTCAAAGTCTAAAATTAATGGTTCTTTCTCCAAATTTAACAACAATCGGAAGATTTCTTGTTCATGCACATTTGTGCAAATGAAAAGCTAATTTCTAGAACAGAGCAATAGACAGAAATTTTCATATGAGCTGTCCTACAGTTACTTACAAGTTGGATCTTGTTGCACTATTTACTATCAGAATACGCCTTTCCGGATTCCTCGGACTGGAGGAACACTCCAGCCCCAGTACTGAGAGATAAGTATGTATCATCGATGGACAATGTTTCCACTTCATTCCTGTCATAGAATGAAATGGTAAAGTTCATCAAGGCAGCGATGTGGTATCAACATGACTTGTCTATAACCGAATAGCTGATGTAAATTTTTCCAAAAATCAATAGTAAGATTCATTCCCCGGCTTGGCTTGTACAGGGGGAAATTAATGGTTGTGTCAAAAAGTCCCTCTCCTAGCAGTCATGTTATATCTCGTCTATGACTTTGAGTCTGTGCATGCCTCACATTTGCAGCCCTTGAAGACCAAGGATGTCTCCTCTGCCTGTGATTCTTTGAGAGAGGGCACATTGTGCAGTGAACTAATTCAGCCAGGAGCTACTGGAGTCAGAGGTAGAGCTAGAAGAAAGTAAATTAAAAGTGTTCATAGTTATTCAAGCCAATCCTTTTATCCTTTCATACACACACACACACACACACACACGTAAGTAGGGAGAGAGAAATGACAGATGATAGATGATAGATATAGATAGACAGACAGATAACAGATATGCTGTTGGAGAGCAGGTTCTTGTCTAATTGAAGAAATAATTCAGAAAGAAGACACAGAAGTCAAGAAAGCAAAGCAACGATTTATTAAGGGATAGATGATACACTCTCAAGGGAAGAGCGGGGAGACCCAGGTGGGTCACTGCCCCAAGTTTCTTTGGCAAGCTGGTTATATGGTTATAAAAATGAATGGGCAGAATATTCCTTGGTGGGAAAGGGTTTGGGGTCATCTTTCCTGATTTTCATCCCAGCTTCACCTTCCTGGGGGGAAGTGGTGGGGGGGGAATTTTTTGTCCTTATTTAGTCTTGATCAGGAAGTCAGATGAGGTCATCATAATGAGCAAAAAAGATTATATTCAGATGGTGGAGATCCCTGTCTTGTCCCACCTTTCTTTGTCTGCCTCCAGGACGCTTGTTAACCCAGAATGTCTGATTTTGTATCAGTCTGGAGGTTTCTGCTTTTCTTGATCTGTCCAAGGACCCCTCATTGTTCACAAGATGTGTAGTTTTCTGCCATTTGGCCCCTGTCCCCCTTTCTCTGCTCATATCTACCTACCTGCCTGCTCTAACAGATAGTTCAATAGAGAGATGACAGATGAAGTTTAATCTGCACTGCGGAATGCCTTAAAGTCCCCCACCCTCAACACGTCCTTGGCAATAAAGTTTGATCAGCAGGTGATGATTTATTCACAACATGAGTGTATTGGATAGAAGCCCAAAGAGGCAAGAAACATTGCTTTTGCTTTCATTGTGCTAAGGTTACCAGGTGTGACCCCTGAGTGGCTGCCTCTTGGGTCTACAAGAGCCTCCAGATCTTGGATTGTCTACTGAGAAGGGAATGGTGTTTTTCAGAGGAGATGAGAGAAAAAGGGGAGAAAATTTCTTTCTCCTCTCAGTCTTTATGGTGGACACACATACACCCAATGCATTTAATAGAGTGTGAAATTCAAACACTAGGTATGAAAAAAAGATCCTTTTTTTTTTCACTTGAGAGCTACCATCACCAGGACCTATTTAAGGAACACAAACTATATCACTATGAATAACATTAAATAAGATTTTTAATATTGATTCAATTTTAATACCACACATTACTACTGTAATCCTCATTGTCAGTCATGAGTTAGACAATAAGCTATCAGACAATTTTATAAGAATTAGGGTGACACAAGACGTCACATCATACTTGGTGCTAACTAGGTGAAGGTGAATGAGTGATGAGCCATTTCTTGCTAATAAGACTCCAGCATTACAGAAAGCTACTATGAAAAAAAAGCCAGTGTTTATATTCAGTATATTTATATACATTTATTTGGTCAGCTTTGTTCCTCTGACTGCAGCTTTTCTGTACTGACTGATACTGTCCCCCTGTATCTGAGAGCTGTGTCCCTGACAAGTAGGGTTTGGCTGTTTGAAGACATGGTATTTTCACTAAGGAGTCAAGGAAGTTGACTCCTGTCTGAGAAAGTGCTGTTTACAAGTGATTCCTTCCAGGCTTCTCTGTGTCTCACCAACCAAACCCAGAAATGACTCAGCTCACCGCCACCTTCTACAGCCCAAGGGAAAGAAAGGCCGTGGCCAGGTGGTTGATGGAAACCTAACCTCACCAGCCTAGTCTTTATCTCAAGACCACAGGTCCACCCTGGAGCCTCCATACGACAAAGAAAATCGTAAATGAAGCAATGGAGGAGGCCCAGGAGGGCAGCCAGCCCTGCACCTGTGTCTGCTGACATCCAACACGGCTTTCCCCCAGAGGTTCCCTTGGGCCCTGCTGCCCTCCTCAGCACCCGAACATTGAGTTTCAGGCTGTGTTCAGGACATTATGACCCAAAGTCATGTTGAGCAACCATCTAATCAAGACTATGTATGTAAAATAGATAAACAACAAGGACCTACTATACAGCACAGGGAATTACATTCAGTATCTTGTAGTAACCTATAATGGAAAAGAACCTGAAAAAGAATATATAGACATACATATATATATAACTGAATCACTTTGCTGTACACCTGAATCTAACACAACATTGTAAATCAACTATACTTCAAATAAAAAAAACAAAAGTTTTTTTTCAGAAATAAATCAAGACTTATTCATTAAGAAATAAATAAATCAGGCTACGAATTAGTAGTTAACCCTCTGTGAAGCTACCTAACTCTGTATTTTTAAGTTTCTCATGTTAAATTCCTGAAATGGCCTAGATTTTTTTTCTTCAAAATTTCAAAATATAAAAATACATATACCTACCAGCATGGCTAAAATGAAAAAGGAAGACAATACCAAGTGTTGACAAGGATGTGGAGCAAATGAAACTCATAATTTGCTGGTGGAATACAAAGTGATTTAACCACCTCGGAAAACTATTTGGCAGTATCTACTAAAACTAAATACACAGTGATGCAGCAGTTTGACTCCTAGCTACCTACCCAAGCAAAATAGTGTTTATGTTAATAAAATAAAATGCACATTCACACAAACAAAGACCTAACTGACCTCTACCCTATCATCAACTCTGGGTCCCTATAAAACCCCCAAATCTCTAAACCAAAGATGTGGCTCACATGATGGCAAAACCTGAACTGATGTCACGCCCTCAGGCATCTTTATTTTTCACGCCTGGTGTGGCTACCCAGCTGTTTCTCATACGTACTGCATGTGGCCCCCAGGGGCTGCCGAGATGCAGCTCAGGGTAAATGTAGCTTACTGTGCACGCCTGAATTACCTTCTAAAATTTGAGAACTTCAGAGTTTGGTTTGCCCCAGGGATATCGTACGAGTGAGCTGGTGTGTGTTTAGAACAGACTTCCTGCCTGCCCAATGATTCTGTCTTTTCAAAGGGAAGGTGGCGTGGTCCCAGGTCAGGATGTTCATACGCTGGTCTCCCTCCCTCCGTGAGGGCTCTCCAGGCGAGAGGACCTTATGCACCTCACCTCATCTCAGTGAAACATACCACTTTAGACTCTGAAGAATTAAACAGTAAGGAGAATCTGGGACACGCTGGGCAGTCCTTGGCCTTAAGAAATCAAGAAACTGAGATCTCTAGTCACTTACAAACGACAGCTAGAACAATCCCAAGAAACAAACATGTTATTTTCCAAACCAAAGAATTAAGGCAAACACTCAGGTCATGACTGGCAAGGCAGGAACTGGACCTCCAGTCTCTTCACCAGTTTGATAATAAGGAACTGGGCTGCACCTAACGTCTCATCAGCCACTGAGGATGAAGTAGAAAACAAACACGCAATGACGGAAACTCTCCATTCCCAGCTCCCTGAGCACGTTCGGAAAGAGTGAAAGCGGAGTTCTAAGTCAAGGGTTTGAGTCTCCATCAAGACGATGGAACTCTTGACCCAAGTTTCCACCATGACCACATTAGCTTCACAGATTTTTAAACTGTACAATATTTGGCTGCTCGGTTCCTCAGTAAACTGAAGACAAAAGCTTTATCAAGTGCCTGCTACTCCATACGAACGTGCATTCACGAGGAAGACCTGACCCAGGGCGCTGCTGACAACAGCCACTGGAGAAGACACAAGTCTCATATCGCCCTAGTGCACTATTGACTTCGGGGCTGGATAACTCTGTAATTCTTTGTTTGGGGGCAGGGATGGCATGCTGTCTTGTGCTTTGCAGGATTCTGGGCCGCATCCCTGGTCTCTGCGCTCTGGATCCCTACAGCACTACCGCCTGATCTGGGACAATCAAAACCACCTCCAGATATTGCCAAAGGTCCCCAGGGGGTGGGCGGCAAAACTGGACCCAGCTGAGAATCATTGTTCTAATACCATGCACAATGTGCTGGCCACAACTAAGGATGAGGAAGAAAAGATATGCACTCCCAGCTGATGGCCTAGGAGCACAACTCAGAGGAGAAAGTGTTTGACTAGACCTCAAAGAACAGACAGACTTTCAATGAGCAATAAGGGAGGTGCTGTAAGAAAAAGAAGAATGTTGATGTTAAATCATAGGGAATGAAGAGGGAAGAGCATGCAACAAATATACCTCTAAAATTAGGAACAGGAAGAGGGTAGAGAGAAAGAGGAGTCAGGCTAGCGGGAAATTCTGAGGCCCTTGACAGCCATATTGTGGAAACACTGACGATTATTCACAGCATCTTTACTAAAATGCTGGGGTGCATATGGTGGTTGTAAAGGTAA